GATGGATGGATGGATGGATGGATGGATGGATGGATGGATGGATGGATGGATGGATGGATGGATGGATGGATGGATGGATGGATGGAATGATTGATCAATCCGTCATTGGGAAAGGAATGCATTTTTAACAGAAGTCATGCATGGGAGGCAGAATAAACCTTGGACTGCTATGTGATCATCACAGGCCCAACATAGATTAAGAAAAGAAAACTTTGCAAGCCCAGAATTACATCCAAGCTAATTTAGAGCAACCCTTGCCGGACTGGGAAAATATCCAAGCATTATAGAAAAGGGCTTCACTAAGATTTGAGTTAACTGCAGGTGAGCAAATTGGAACTCTAAGCTTTTTTCTGACCACTTTTATTCAGATAATATAGTAATATTTTATTGCACCTGAATGCTCTTTGTTACTAATTGCCTACATATTAAAAAAATTATCTTTGTTTTTCTTTTTCTTTGGGTGGATATAATATAAAAAGTTAGCCTGCTCTACATAACACATTTTGATAGACAATAATCAGAAAAAAAAAATTAGTATGGATAGCAACAGGTTTCGATGCAGGAGAGCAAGGTTGTTTTGTCATATAATGTTTTTTGAGTATCCAAGTTATTGGGTATTATTTGTTGAGTGCAGAAGACAGATTGTCAATCAAAAGAAAATGTGAGCTCTGGAAAAATATTGCTCGCTGGTAATGTTATGATTTATTTAAAACTAAATGGAGCTGACTAACTGATCTGTTTACAAAATGTGAAAAAGATAAAACAAAATAAACTAAGCTGCCACATTTCAGTATGAACAAACACAGAAAAAATATATATATATCTGAAGAGGAAAGTCTATCTGACTTGAATATCATCACCTGAGAGGACGCCCCATTGTCCATGTCCATCCAGCATGGTGCTGGATCCTGTTACCCAGCCACCAAGTGGCAGTTAGCCTTCTGAAAGAGATAGCACTCCTCATGGGCTACTGAGTGACACCACTCATCACTAAGGGCAACATAAGTTTAGGGGGGCTCCAGGTGTCTGAAGAAACCTGACCTCCAACACCCCTCCCAAAATGTCCCCCCCCCCCCGAGTTACACACACCATCACCTGCCTCTCAATGGTCAGCCCTGGCATGCTAGAAATAAGATGTATTACTTGCTGACAGATTTCCAAATGAAATGTTTATTTAATGAGATGGACTACTCATTTATCTTATAGGTTTGTTCCTGAATAGATCATTAAAAGGATTTTATAACAATCCATTGGCAGTAGAAGCCAAAACAGAATATACTGAATTTAAAGCATTAATTTTGCATCACCCCTAGTCAATACTGATATCAGAAATTACCTCGTAACATACAGCCTTTTACACATTATTTTATCACCTATTAGTTATAACTATTACAGCTTATGTGAACTACATATACAATAAGGAGTGGCTTTTAAAAATTTATTTTTAATACTGTTACAGTTTTTTAAGATTTAGTTGATAAAAATATGTCCCCAGACCTTCTCTTTGTATGACTATGCTTTGAGATCCTTTTCATTAACACCATAAACAGTAAACGGTTCCACCTCCAGTCACCAGTCTGTTGAGCTGCAGACCTTTGTGACTGACACCACCCTCATGGAGTTCTTTACTTTTAAGGGGTCAAAGTAACAAAATCTTAAAATTTTGGGTGTAGCATTAAAAGTAGACTTCTGCCCTTCAGCCGCTGATGATAGAACTGAAAAAGTTCAACCATCACTGCATCCATCCTCTCCTCCTTCTTCACCATCTGTTATGCTGCTGCCACCACCATGGACAAAGACAGCATATCATTCGCTCTACAGAGAAGGTGTTGGGCTGCAGTCTTCCTTCTTCTCAAGAGCTGTAAACCTCTAGGACTTGGAGGAGAGGAGGGAAGATTGCAGCTGACCCCTCCCACCTCGGACACAAACTTTTTCAGACACTTCTCTTTGGTAGAAGGTTGGGCCCATCAGGACAAAAACTTTTTCACACAAAAACAGCTTTTCTCCTTTCTGCAGCCTTTCTGCAAAGGGTTTTACTAAATATATCTATTATCTTATTACTTGTTTACAAATCAAATTGTTATTTTCGATTTTTATTTATGTTGCTTATGTATTTCTATGTGTAGCAACTTATTACTGGAGCAAATTCCTTATACCATAGCACAAAGCCCTTCTTGGCAATAAAAATGTTCTGGCACTAAAATTGTCTCTATTTTTCTTGTTTAAGACACTTAATGAGTTTCCATGTTATACCACTCTCACAAGCAAAAATACTAACCAAATAGTGCTGGGGTCCAGAACCAAAACATGTTTGAAATGTCAATAATAAAATAGTAAAGTATTATTAGTACAGAAGGAAAAAATACATCTGCACAGTGTGATGAATGCATGATTAATGATTAATGTAGACGGACAGCAGACCATCTTTACACAATTAAACCGAAATGAAAAACATTGTGACTGAACTTAAATAATGCATGTTTCTATGGTTACTACAGTAATGACAAACTGCAAAACAGCAGGTATAACTTCATAAAAGGAGACATCTCCACTTCTGCCATTCTGGAGATTGACACAAAGTACCCCTCCAACATGCCGTCTGCTAATTTCTTCACATTGTGTGTAAATGTGTTTTTACATATTTACACAAAACAACACTGAATATTGGCAGCCACCAGTGAGCAACCATCATCCGGTGCACCAGCCAGAAGTGGGCATCTCTAACTTGTTGCAAGAGGGATTTTATTTCTTCCTTTATGAGCTCCAAACGAAGCACAGTGATGTTTTATTAAACAAGTCCAATCCAGTTTGGTTTGCAATATTTTGGGTGAAGCAGGTGTTACAAACAGTTGGTGGAGGTAAATCCAGCTGTTTAGATTTTAATCTTTTGGCTCATAATCCGACCATGGCTCCTTTTCTGTCAGGGGGTGGTCGGATCCAGGAGCTGACAAGGTCAACTTTTTTAAATTTTCCAATTGTTTTTTGTTTTATCTTTAAAATTGCCCTTTGACATTTTTAGATGTTTATTTTCTTTTACTCTTGCAAGTAAATTGCACTATAAATAATGCTTTTGATTATCATCATTATTAGTAATTATTATCATTATCTCTAACACTATGGCAGAACTTCCAATGTCCTTAACAGCCACTTGTAAACTGCCAGTGGTAACAAAATTTAATAGTTAAATTCTGGTTGAATTCTTATTGGTAGATTACCATAAACATGGTTACATGTTGCTCACACAATTTTTTTCTTTTTCTTTTTTTTGCCTATGCAATCAATTTAGCGCTCATTATTTTGATTCTTTAACCTCAGACTCTATTTGTCTGCTCTAGAGAGGTCTTTAGGCTTAACATTTCTTACTTACCCTTTCTCTGGTCACTTTATTTTATTAAAAAAATCAGTTCCCTTTTAAGTAAGTAGGGCTTAATGTGCTCTTAGGATAAGATGCAGGCTGTTAAAAAAAACATGCATCATGACATAAAAGGACTTGTTGAACAAGATCTTTTTAAAAGGTGTTAGCATACGTTTCATACTATTAGGTATACTATATAAAATAATTTACCTCCCTCACTTCCAAAGCCCTGTGTGTCATGGTTGAATCAACCTTCAGTGATGATCTTCAGTCCAGGTGTACACAGGTGTGCAGAAACAATCCAGCAACGGCTTTAAAATCTGAAATTATAATCCATATTTGATCCTCCTCAAGTCTAAGAAGTGTTTAATTCATTCTCTCTTCTGACGCTTTATATATAAAAGGCAATACTGCCCTAAAAAAGACCTGGCAGCACAATCCAGGACAGAAAAGGGGAGTAACTGCTGCCTCCAGCTTGGCTACTGCCCCTGCTTTGACAGTAGCTATACTGTAACAGGCCACCTGGTTATGGAAGCAGGGGGCTGCTCAAACATTAATGGAGCTGAGGCAGCAAACATTCATTCAGCTCTTTACCTGAGTGTTGAACTGTGTGTTTAAGAGGGGTGTGTGGGAGGGGGGGACATAACGTGTGTGTGTGTGTGAGTGTTTTTATGTCTATGTCTGTGCAAGTATGTAATACAAGGTTGTTGTAACCTGATCCAACCAGAGACCCACTCTCACCCTCCTCCTCAATACACACCGGAAAGGTATTCAGTTACTGATCTTTGATTAGATGGATGTATTTCAAAGTAATTACCTGCAATGTTATAAAACTAGAAGGTAACAGACTACTTCAGCATTGTAAATGAATTTACTAGAGTTAACAAATTTTAAAAAACTACCCATTTCAAAGGTCTCATTTTAATTAATTTTTCTAAATGCATTATCAAATACATGCTATAAAATTGATTATCAAAATCTGGGAAAAAAGGGAAATCTGGCTTGAGCAAAAAAGAAAAATTCTAGTATTTTTTTGGACATGTTACTTTTAAGATAATATTTTAATCAAGGCAACAGAAAACTAGAAATGCAGGAAGTATAAAGTGGAAACAGTTATCATTGTTCAACACTATCAACGGATCTGCAACCTCAACCCTTTCTTTTTCACTTGGTGAGGTCAGCCATCTCAGGCAATGTGGTCTTGTGGTCTAATACCATTTGTTTAAATTTTAACATTGCTTCCTGTAAGCATCAACAAAGCTATCTTAAATTACAGCCTCATGATTGGGAAAACCACATAGTGACACAAGAGAGCAGGATGGAAAAAAAATCCTCATTAACATGATGTAATCCATTATGTAATACTTACACATTGGATGGATGGACGGACGAACGGACGGACGGACGAACGGACGGAAGGATGGATGGATGGATGATAGAGCTCAAAGCAGAAACAAACTAGATATACAACCATTTAACCTTAAACCTTACAGACCCTGTAATAGCAGAGTTGTTTACTTTCATTTTGAAAAAATGTAGATAATGCAGAATATATTTTTTTCCTTGTTTTAAACACAAATAAATCAGGCAAAGTAACAACTGTAATAGTGGTTTAATAAAAAAAACTATTATTATATCCCATACCTTCACAATAGTACCAAAAGGTTACATGATCCCCTAATAGATGTGGAACTATTCTTGATTTATTTCAGTTGTGTACTTTCAGGTGGTAATTGCTTATTAAACCCTCAGGGCTCAACAGTTATAACACCTGAGGAAAAAACTGTTCTAAAAAGCCTAAGTTCTCCGTCAGCGTAGACAGTATAATGTTTCTTTAATCATTAGGATTAATATAGTCTCATGTCTAAATAGTGAAACCATTTTTTTTAATGGTCCCAGTCTTGCATGTCCCAACCAACTGAGTCCTTATTCATGTGAGAAACAGCTTGGTGATGGAAGTGGACCCTGGTTAGTTTCAGGAGAGGTGCATTTACCAAAGAAAAAAAATGTTACAGAAGTACTATAAACAAATTAAACTTTGCTGTACTGAAAATCGAACATCAGAGTAAAATTCTTTCTTTATCTAAAAACTTTAGGCAAACAGTAATGGACATCAAACCTTACCTTTGATTCCATCTTCAGCTTCTCTCTTTAAGCACTACTGCACTACTGGTTTTAGTGTGAGTCTGTAGCTGATATTAGGACAGAGGGCTGTGCTGTGTCCACCTGTCCTGTATTTATGACTGTCCATGCCGCAGCCTCAGCATGTCCTCTGATGTCCTACTTTCTAAACCTGGCCTTACTCCTAAAGTACAAGGAGAAAGAGGACTGAAGGATTCAGGTGCTCATCAAAAGCCACAGGGAATATAATTACATGAGAAATGCTCTTAATCCCTGCTTAAATATTTGTTTGTTTCACAATATGAGCTTTGGACAAAAAGCTCAGCAGAATGTGATTGTTACAAAGACAAAATTAAGGTTGGGTTGGTTTAGAAAAGACTATGACAGATATTCCAAAGTAGCAGAAAATACCAACAATTTTTTTTATGCCAATAAGATAATTAAGTATCAAATATGTAAAAAGAAAGAAACACTAATTGACAACAGATCACTTCAGTAAAAAAACATTTGGGTAATAGCACCACCTACCGTCTATCGTGTGTTATGACACTCAGTGATAAACCGTAGCCTGCATGCAAAATGGTGTCATATGACATGTTTTTTAATCACAACACTGTATTTTTGGATTTGAAACGTATGTTTGTAGTGAACTCATATTTTTATGTATTTTTATACAAGTTAAAACAGAAAAGAACCATTAATTAGTGTTTAGTTACACCTGTATCTTTGCAATATCAGATTATAAGATAAATAAACAGGAAAGCTGCAAAAAGTATATTGTTTTTTCTGGTTGTTAGGAGAATGAAATGAGAAGCAGTTATTATTTATAGTCTTTTAGATACATACAGACATAATTACTATTATGACTGTAGAAATATTTGTATCTTTATAAGAAGTTTTAATCCGGCTCTTTCTTTCTTATTTTAGTCTCAAAATATTTTTAATTCTAGGGTCCTTTGTAATTGCATTTATCTAAAATGCAATAAATGAAAAGTAATTGCATTTATCTAGAATGCAATTACTTTTCTAAAAAAAAAAATATATATATAAATAAATAAAAAGCCTATTGTATTATGGGCGTACCTGAATTCCAACGCTGTTGTTTCCTGGTGAAACCACGCCCCCCTCTGTTTCTGCAGGTATCGTTCACTGATTGGTTGCCCCATTGAAACCTTAAGCGACTGCACCAGCAGGTTTGACAACAAATGACCGGTTTGTCTTCAGCTGTAGTTCTACGCCTTGCTGTAAACAGAAGGACTTTCAAAATGGACAGCTGGACCAGATCTGCTAAGGTTACTTACAGGCGCTGGAGTAATCCTGAACCAGGGTAACAACAACCCACATTTTCTGTCTCTGATACTACAGGCCATATTCTTAGAAAATCAAAAGTGCTTTCAAAGTTTCAAGAGCTAATGCCTTTTGATTGCATCATTTGAGCATACTATTCTTATTTAACTGTGATATAGCCCACTGTGAAATAATAATTTTAATGATTGAATGTGTTCTTTCTGTGTTGCTGAAACTTAGAGATGGGGGAGAATTTGTGGGTCAAACTGATGAAGACCAGGCCACAGATAATGAGATCTGCACTATTGCCTCAGCAAAGGTTCACTCAGGAGGCAGAGAGTCTGCAACCAACTCTGAAAATAATAAAACTACAGGTTTGTACAGCCTACCTGCTAATTACACAGACTTATGTCTTTGAATGCAAAGTTTGAACAGTCAGCTGGTTTGGATGCCCTGTGATTGTTGAAAGCAATGTGAAATAGAATAGTCTTGGTTACAAGTCAGTCGGTAAGTATGAGAACAGTTTATATAACCAATGGGCTCTTTTAGTGTTTAATTATAGAATTGGATCTATAACTGGGAAAAACAAGATCAATGCTCTAAAGTTAGCCTGCTGATTTGTTTGCCTTTAATAGGGGAATCCATATTGTTCAGTCGGCCAGCTGCCAAGTTCTGGAACATCATCATAATACTACATGATAAAACCCATGCTTTTTTTAATTTTTGTCTCATAAATATGAGAGTAACAGCATTTTGTATTATCGCAAAAAAACTTTGGTTTAGAGTTAAATGTTGTGCAAATGAGTGTGTCAGTCTGTTTTTTTAGCCTTTACCACTGGATCCTTTGTAAAGCCTTTTCCACATACAGTATCTTATAAAAGACATGTCATCATGTTTAAACCCCAAGCTCATTTGTGATAAGTGACAGAGGGAATCAAAGTAACTCAGGGAAATGAAGTGGAAAGACTGATCACTTTAAATGTTTTTTACAAAGAAACATCTAGAAATGGTGACATGGAGATGTTTCAGTCTGTAAAATGTTTTCACACCTTTACATTAACTGTGACCAGCTTCCAGGTCTCTGCTCAAGAATAAAATTCACACAGCATGATGCTGCCACCGCTGTGTTTTACTGTGCATATGGTGAATTTATGGTGTTGTGCAGTGTCAGTTTTCTGTCACACATATGATTCCCTTAAAGGCCTAAAATAGATATTTACCATTTGAGCAGAGCACCATGTTCCATTACCTGTTGGTAATGTTTACCTGCTCTTGCTTGGTAAACTGAACTAAATTTAGGTTATCTTTAATTTAGACTATCCCTGATTGAACTTCTCCTCTACTCTATATTTGCCTGGCCTGTTTTTTTCGTTGGTCTTAAATATGTCATTTGTTCTCTAATGATCATTTACTAACCCTGAAGGACCTTTATTGAACAGCTGGATTTATATTATTGTGAAATTAAAAGAAAAGGATACCTGGAAGTAAAGTACCTGACCGAAGGACACTGATCATTCCGTTTTTTCCCTTTACCTTTCACAGAAACATTTACAGTGGACGATGCTCTGGAAGCGATTGGATTTGGAGTCTTTCAGTGGAAAATCTCGCTCCTTACAGGACTTGCATGGGTAGGCCTCCTTCATGATGCTCAAACACCTTTCTGTCATAATCTGGACCCTGCATGTGTCTCATATGTTCACCTGCGTCAGGTCGGAGATGCCATGGAGATGATGATCCTCAGCATCCTTGGCCCCCAGCTTCACTGTGAGTGGAGGCTTCCCAGCTATCAAGTGGCGCTCATAACATCAGTAAAGATCCTTTCTGTGCTTTTCTAGAACTTTCTGAGAGTGTAAATGTTGTAATTCTTTTTTAAAGTTTCTTTTTATATCTTTGACTATCAGGTTGTCTTCATTGGGATGGGGCTCAGCTCTCCTGCTTGGGGTAATGTGGCCGACAAGTATGGAAGAAGAGTGGTAAGTATGACAAGCTTGGCTTTTTAAAGTGGATTTGATTCCTTTCAGTAGCTCATGTTTTTGTTTGTTTTTTCTGTTGGTCTTTGTGGTAAAAGGGCCT